GACAAAGGCGGGAGGATGTCTTACTTAATTGGATCATCATGATTAAGCTAAAGATATGATGGATTATCGGGCGTGTTCATTAATAGCCCCGCCTTTTGTTCCCAGGTGTGTGTCATTTTCGGCGTGGAATCGAAGGCTCCCTTTGTCACCGCGACAATGGGGGGAAGCGGGATCCGATTGCCCTGTTCAATTGCCAGGGCCGACGGGCATCGATTGGCCGGGCCGAATCGGGCTGTCGGCTCGACCGGGGTTTTAAATGGCAAGTTTTCTCACTTTCCAAGTTTTCTAATTTAATTTTTAAAATTTTTATTTATTTAAAGGGATTTGTCTGATGGATTTTCATTGAGGATAATCCGATTTGACAGCAAAGTTTGGCGATGCTGCTGAAATAACTTAATCTTCAGCTGATTTTTTTGAACTGTTTTGAGGGAACAGTTTTCATGAAAGCGGATGAATATATATATATATATAATATCTGAGTGCGACTCGAAGCTGGGTTCGTAGAATGACGAACAGCGAGGGAAAAACCAAATCCATAAGAAAACCATAAGAAAATGCAACGACGTAGCCGTTTGTGTAGGCGTTGTAGCTGTTTCGTGCATTTCCGTTGTCGCCAAAATAATTTTGTGTGGGGAAATTAGCTATTCTGCAGTGATCCTGTGGACTCTGCAGTCGTGAAATGACGGTTGGAAACAAATTGGAGGGCGTGTCTCCCTATGCGTTCCCGTGCCTCCCTTGTGTCTCCCTTGTGTCTCCCTGTGTCTCCCTGTGTCTCTCCCTGTTTGACCCTGGCCTGTCACTCATAACGCCCATTTCGCAATATCACCGCGGGAAAGCGAGAAAGAAGCACAAATCCGAAAAATTCATGAAAATTTGGAGGAGGGAATCAGCGACGTCCCATGATAATCTCATGAGATCTCATGAGATGTTATGAGAATCTCATGAGCGTCCTCTCCGTCAGGCAAGTGCTCTTTGATCTCTCTCGAGATGAAAACGACGAACACTATGATAGCGAACACTATGATGAGCGAACACTATGATGAACGAACACTATGATGAGCGAGCACCATGATGAGCGAGCACCATGATGAGCGAGCACTATGATGAGCGAACACTATGATGAACGATGAACTTTGGCAGCTGAAGATCCGGCGAGCATTTAGCGCTACGAAACCCGCATTTTTTTATTATTCCATATTTGCGCGAGAATTTGCTCGTCGCAGAGTTCTCAGATTGCAGAATTATCGCTGAAATGGCAAAAAAAAAGAGAGAGAAGAGAAGCAATCTGACTGGACTCACGATTCCGCCAAAACGATTCCCCGCGAAGGCTGATAATTCCCTTTTTTTACCCCCGAAGAAAATTGCCGGATCGTTTTTCCTTCTTTTCCTGCCGGCAATTTTCCGACCGTTAACGGGGTCCTTTCCCCCGCGATAGCGGCGAAATCGCGCGGAATTGCTTTCGCGATTTTCGGGAAATCGTGCGGACGGAATTCGCAATCGCGCTTTTGCCACTGGAAACTGCGGCAGAAAGTCACGATCATTATCATTATAATAATAATTATTATTATTATATAGCAAGTATTCGGAAAGAAATTCGCTTCTCGGCTGCAAGCGGAAATTTTCATTACTTTCATAATTATAATAATACTTTTTTTTTACAATTTGCCTTCATCCTTCGCAGAATGTTGGCTTTTGCAAAAAAAAAAGAAGGAAGATATTGAATTTTTTTTGCACTGCAAAACGACCTTTTTAGTTCTGGAGAACCTGATTTTGCGTGCTTCGGTATTCCCCAACTTTTAGGATGTTATTCCTTGGGATTCTTCTTCACGTCTTCGTTATTCTTCGCTATTCTTCATTATTCTCATATTCCTCATTATTCCCTATTTCTTCCTCATCATTCCTCCCTTATTATTCGCTACTTTCCTCCCGACGCCCTAGTTATTCATTACTTTCATCATTATTCCTCATTATTCCTCGTTATTCCTCCCGATTCGCTCGCTATTCGCATCTTCTCGTGGCATTCTCTGCCGTTTCGCGGATGGAAACCTACTGGGAGCGAGTCCGGTAGCAAGGTCTGTGGGGAGGCTCACAGCGGTGGAGGGGGAGGCTCACAGCGGTTAAGAGGAGGCTCACAGCGGTGGGCGCCCAGCTTGTGTCTTTGTAATGGCCCTTCACACGCCAGGAAATGAAGAAACGCGGGTGTGCGCTCAATTTGCCAGGAATCCTCCCCCCGAGTTTGGCCTCTGCCATTTGTTTTTCGCAATGTTTATTTGCGACCGGCGGATCCCGCCCGAATCGATTCGATCAACAGATCAACGGATCATAAACGGATCATCTCTGGATCATCTCCGGATCATCGACAGACCGTCAACAGATCACCACCGGATCGGAGGACCGCCGCTTCAAAATGTTAAGCTTAAAAAAAATTAAGCTGTTAATCCCGGTTGACCGAAGAGGGAGTGACACATTTTAATGAATGTACCAACTTAGGCTCATTTAGACTTACCGTACCATTTTAATTAAACTATGCCGCAGTTTCTGCGGGTTGCCTTTCATTCTAATTCCCACTTCATATATTCTCTCATTGATATTTTCATTTATAGGATTAGACGATTCTTATCGCGGATCACCAGCCTTATCGTTAATGATCCGCGAAACTTATCTTTCGCGAATCGCTGAACCTTCGCCAAATCTTAGTGATGATTGGCATGAAAAATTCCTTAAGCAATTAGCAAATTAGGAAGTTGTGGTAGCGGAGAATTAGCATGATTTTACTGTAGCAGGGGTTTCTCAAAGTCTGCCGAATCGGACGGAGTCGACGAAACTCCGTCGCGCCAAGAAATATTTGCATGTCGCAAAAAAAAAGAAACGGTTGCAAAGTCCACCATACCTTTGTCGTCCTCGCCGACGATGCTGCTGATGGAGAAGATGGACTTGGGCGACCTCCTCGCCGCGGAGCCCTTCATGCTGAGATCCATTGGATGGCACTTCTCGAAGCGGGAAGAGAAACTAAATCACCGATTGATAAAAAATGTTTTAAAAAAAAAATTACTTCGTCGGAAAAAATCGGCGCCAGTCACGTGCTCCTGGTCCGGGTCCACTGGGGGTCCGCTGGCCTTATCGTCCGGTGGATCTCCAGCGGATCTCCTCCGGTCCATCCTCCTTAATTCGATTCGCATGCATTATCCGCCCGGCCAATCGGAAGCGAGGGGGGCGGGGCCTGCGCCGTGACGTCATCACAGGCGCCACGTGATTGCGCACGCGGCCTTGGCCCCGTTCCCATCAGCTTCTTTTGTCTCGCGATTAGGGCGATGACCGTGCGACTGTCGCCATGTTGTAATTGCACCCGTCCAGATGGTCCACGAAAAAGGCAATTCCGGCAATTGGCCGGCAATATTATTCGAATTAGTGGACGGAGAAATTTGACGGATTAAGTTTCGGGTTGATGCGCGCCTGGAAAATAATTTCTGTGATTGAGAGAAGAAAAACGTCAGGGAAATGATCATTGTCGGCTCTTTCCCGTCGCATCAGGAGCGACGTCGGCGAGTGGGAACGGGGCTTAATTCGGGGCTTAATTCCAGCTCAGTCGGGATTATCCGGATCTCGAGAGTAATTATCTGGGGGACATTTGACTTCAGGATAATTATAGTTGAAAGAAAACGCAATCGTCATTTTCACTTTCGGGATGACGTGCGACAAGGAGAAAGTTTTTTTTTTCTACCAGGATTGATAATTAAAAAAAATAATTGCTTTTTTTTTCCAAATGCAATTTGGTACCGATAAATTCTTTCAGCATTTTAATTTGTTTGGCGATCCGTGAATTAAAATTAAATTCGTTGCAGCATCGCGAGCTTCGCGAAATTTAATTGCACTAATTTCATCTGCAAGACGAACTTCTTCGCGGTTGTATGCCGCATTAAAATAAAAACGTGATAAAATATAATAAAATTATTACATTTCTGTACCCATGAAATTAAGTGTTCCTCAGATAATGAATCGATTAAAAGCCAATAGGAATTGTAATTGCTTTAAACTGTGAATTTTATTATTCGACCTATCATATCCTGAATTTTTTCAGAATTAGATTATTTCTTGAATTAGATTATATCTTGAATTAGTTAATTTTAAATTAAAATAGTTCAATATTTTTCATTTTTCAAGTGATTTTATTATTCATTCGGCATTCAGAATATTTAGATCGATTAGTTTCATATAGCGCATGTTACTCGTCACACGTGACAGACGGGCCTCGGCTCCATGCATATCAATTAGCTCATCGCCCTCATCGTCTCCCTCCGATTAACCTGCAAAAGGGTTTTTCCCACCGAAAATAACTATTGGCGCACTCCCTCCCCAATGATTCATGAGGTGATGAATGGAGTTGCAGCGCTAAAGATCGTGTGTTTAAGAGGAGGGGAGAAGTATATTAAGAGGGGGGGGAGGAGGGAGGAGGGAGGGGGGGGGGAGAGTGAGACGAATGAGCCGGTGGGCCAGGGTGGCACCTGGCAAATTGACGTGTTTATTGTTAAAAACCCCGGTGCGTGCACCCCTGTAGGGCTCTTCCCCGGTGGTGGTCTGATTCCTCAGCCTTAAATTGCACCCTCCAGCCCTCCCTCCATCCCTCCCTCCAGCCCTCCCTCCCCAATCACCAGCTGTGCACGCAACGATATTGACTTTCGCTCCTCGAGATTAATATGTCCGCTCGGAATTATTTTCCCAGGCGATCAGCGTGGAAAACCGTGGACGCGGGTTCGCGATGGGAATGGGGTCGAGCCGGCCGCGGTAATCCATTACGGGGCAATCGATTACAGGGTAATCGATTACCGGGGGAGATAACCGGACGACAAGAGTGTCGATAGCGGTGACTGATTTTGACAGGAAAATCGCCCACGCGTAAAAAAATATACATTGAAGATTTTATCATCGGCTTATCGTTATTTTTTAGATATACAGTATATATATATTTTTTATCAGCTCCTGTCGGGATTACGCAAGCGAGATGCAACAAATGTGCCTGTTCCCAAGCGAGTTCTCCCCGACGGCTTCCACTTACTGCAAAATTTCCTTCCCGTGAGAGCTGCAGATCGGCATGCGCAAATTTTTGGCAATCCTTCTGGCGTGCATTGGCGCCATTGGCCACCCGGCCAATGCAGCCGACCCGCTCCGTGAGTCTCCACTTTCATTTACCATTTCATTCACAATGTCATTTACCATTTCATTCACAATGTCATTTACCATTTCATTCACAATGTCATTTACCATTTCATTTACCATTTCATTTTCCATTGTTGTTGTCGACAGCAAGAGTGAAGGGCATCCCGTGACAGGCATAATATATTTAATATACAGTCGAACTCGTTCATAACGTCATCGAAGGGACCAGGTAAAAACCGTCGTTATAACCGAGGTTGCCTTTATTGGCACTCCGTTTTCCTGTTTTCAAAATTGACGCCATGCAACGTCACAACTCCGGTTTACATTGGTCATACAACACAGTTTCGAGATTGACCCTGATGTTCGCACTTCTTGTTTTCTTGTTTTGTGCCACGGATGAAGCCGTCGCGATTTTCCCAAATTGTGGAAGCTGATGAACTGATGATGTCCGTGTTCGCGTGCGACGTTAGCTTCACGTCGAGCTCGTTCTATTAAATTAATCAAGCACACTTTCCTTTCAATCGTGAAGGCTTGCCAGTTTCGTTTTCCATTGGCCGTTTTCGTTTTCCGTTGTCAACGAGGAATGCAAACGGCGACTGAAGATAAGATTATCTTAGTTACTGGGGATTATCCCTCCATAACATTGCTCCAGCCACACCAACATGACTCTCAAGGAATGCCAAATCCAGGAAATATAAAGTTATGGCTTCCCAACGCTAATTTTTCCAATGACGGAAATTTCAGTTAAGAATGACGGATTAGGGACATGAGCGTTGTCGATTCGAACGTCGATTCGCCTGTGAGACCTTCAATGGACTTCGTTATGACCGAAGTTTCGTTATGACCGAGGTTTCGTTATGACAGAAGTTTCGTTATGGTCGAGGTTTCGTTATGACCGAGGTTTCGTTATGACCGAAGTTTCGTTATGACCGAGGTTTCGTTATGACAGAAGTTTCGTTATGGTCGAGGTTTCGTTATGACCGAGGTTTCGTTATGACCGAAGTTTCGTTATGACCGAGGTTTCGTTATGACCGAGGTCGACTGTATGTTATTCTCCGCCCACCCAAACAAATGCTTATCAATTGCCAATATTCTCTTCTCTTAGCAACCTTCAAACTCACCGACAAAAACCAGCTGAAAAAAAATTGCCGAACGACGGGCAATCGAAGCAATCAGAATTGCAATTTTTTCTGTTCACTTCGCGCTCATCGAGAAAACTCCGCATGGAATGTGAATTAAATATATAGATGCAAGATTGCATGAAATTTGGCGAGATTAAATAAAAATCACGCTTATTCCTATTTTAGCATGTCAAAACCTATTTGCAATAAATATTTTTGTGTTGAGTTTTTGGTTTCCTGCGCGCCTGTAATGCGCGCCTGCAACCGATGCATCACAGGAAAAGGGCTTGGATGATTTTTTCAATGCTAAATAAATAACGTAAAAAGTGATAATGCGCGCAGAAGCTCAATTTTATTTGCCAATATTGGCAATATTTGCCAACTCAATATTTTCTGCTCATTTTTTTAATTCTCATTTTTGGTCTCATTTTCGCTGCTTTTCAGGGAGTAGATGAATAAATTGCATTAATTGCAAATTGACTGACTCACCTTTCAACCGGAGGAGGGAAGGCTTTACCTCCGCTGTTACCGCGGGTTTAACCCGGTTAAGCCGCTGCATTCAGCCTTTCCTTCGAGGATCCGAATTTTTATTTATTTATTTCGCCAGTTATTTAAATTCGATTGTTTTTCCCACAGGTAAATGATTTGTTTTGCAATCTCTTTTCAAATGCAAATTTCAAATGCAAATGTCCTCGACTTCTTCCACAAAAAAAAATATTTTGCAAGAAGTTGTAAAGATCTGCGTCCATTGATTTCCTGTAACGGATGCAAAAAATTCTGCTAAAAAAAAAAGCCCGAATGAAAAAAAAGCAAAAACGTCCCCAGGGAAAATCGTCTCTGTGCCAAAAATGTCCCTCAAAAAAAAATTTTTATTTCTTGTCTTTTCGCCCCTTTTTACTTTTTAATTTTGCCTGGAGGCATCTCACTTTCGCGACCGATTTTATTTTTTTCTGCCTAATTTTTGCGAGACCGATGCAAGCATCCTAATGTAAGGGGAATTTATCAAAAAGAAATAACATGAAAAATTTTCACCAGAAAAATCTACTTCATTTCATAAATAACTTTTGTTTTTGCATTTCGTTACTTCATTCTTGTTTCATATTTCGTTATTAATTTTTTTAAATTCAGTAATAAATTTTATAAAAATATTTCCTAATAGTGTTTGCTTCAAGTTTAGTTATTAGTTTCATATTTCTTGATAATTTTCGTTTCGAATTTCAGAGCATTACAACGTGGACCCATCCGGCGTGACGGTGTCCGGATTCTCGTCCGGCGGCGGGATGGCGAGCCAGCTCCACGTCGCGCTTTCCGCCAAGATCCGCAGCGCCGCCGTCTTCGCGGGAGGTAACGCGCGTCTCGCGAGGGATGCGGCAGGAAAAAAAAAATCAGCAAGAGCCTCCTTTCGCAATTTCGAGCGTCCCGAGTTCAAAAATCAGCGAAAAAATTAGTTTTAAATTCAATTCAGCGCTTTTTCAGCAATAATGCAAAATCTGGCTGTTCTTCAGCAGCGCACAGCGATGTGCCGAATATGAATAATTTCAAATTTGCACTGGAGGTTTTAGTCAATTAAGAGTTTCAAAATCGTTTCATTCATACATGTTGAGCGCATATTGCGCGTTGAACGCATATTACGCGTTGAGCGCATATTGCGCGTTGGACGCATATTGCGCGTTGAGCGCATATTGCAAATTCAAATTGGAAATTGCTGGCCTTTCGATCATTGCCTGTTCCTGGTCGCCGATTGCCTCCGCCGGTTCCGCGAATCTGTTCGCGGAGGAACGTCGGAGTGCGCGAGACTCGCGGCAAAAGGGAAAATTTTCCCGACGTTCCACGATGATGAAATTTTCCGTCCCTCCAAAATGAGCGAAAAAATTTGCACATTTGCCATTTCCCTCCAGCAATGCGTTCGGAAGAAAGAGTAAAAGTGCGAGGAGAAATATTAAACAGAATTAAATGATATCGCATTAAAATATATTACCAACATCGCGTCGAGTACGGTCTCGGACGGAACGGATGAAAGGGACCTTTCACCGATTTGCACTCGCCGATTTGCACTCCCCAATTTTTATCGCGTTTGAGTCTCGAGTGGCCACCGGCGAATTGTGCAAACCGGTTTCAGTGTCCATTTCAAGTTTTTTGCGTTTGGCACATTTTAGGTATTGGCACGTTAGAGGGAACCCGCACATACGAGTGGGATTTGCAAATTCCAAATCTTTTTGCCATTTTCTTTGATGCGGTGTTTCATTCGTTCACTGTTAGGCCGTGAAATGCAGCACTATTCTCAGAAATATTAGAGCTCCTAGATGTGATTTAAAAAAATAATGCAAAAAATAATGCAAAAAAATGGTGCAAAAATTGTGCAACTAAGTTACAAGCCAGGAACTTTTCTTCCGCACTTTTTCGTTCAACCCTTTGAGAATAATGGCACACGACGGTAAAAGTATGAAATATTGCCCACTCGGCGAAAGGATCGTTCTGGTTTTTTCCGGGCGTGAGCGCGAAAGTGAGCGATGGCGATGAATAATAGATGAGCGCAGTTGGGGGAAGGCCCGCGATTCGCCCGGCGGATTCTTAAGTCGAGATGTTATCGCGGATGCGTGCCTTTTGGGCTCGTGATTGCTGCTTGGGGGCTTAAGGTTTCAGGGGTTCGCCTGGAAATAAATAATGGTATATGTGAGCGTAAATAATAAAATAAAATGACTAATGTTAATAATGACAATATTGGCTCAGTAATTGTACAAGTATTGTTTCCTGTGATTTAGGAGAGGCGATCTGCGCAGAAAGGGATTGGTGGACGTTTTGAGTGTTGGACTTGAGAAATTTTCAGAATGCTTGAGAAATATTTCAGAATGCTTGAGAAATATTTCAAGCATTCAGTGTTCGTATATGGAAAAGTGAAGAGCATGCTTGGAATGCCGTGCATTGAAGTACTTTGGACTGACAGAGAAAGCAGGCAGCGATCTGTTTCTTTCCTCCACACGGTCTTCCGTATCATCAAGCGCCCGCACGTGAAAGTTCAAAAAGCCCGAGAAGCGGGCGAGGCGGTCCCGCGTCCTCCAGTCCCTTTCCCGCGCAGGCCTCCACCGATGACGTCACAGATGGAGAAAACCGGAAAGTATAAAAGGGCCTCCACTCCCGGCAGTTCCGTACTACTGCGCCGGGGACGGGTCGGCGGAGGGCGTGTCCAAGTGCCTGCAGCAGGAGGTGGTCGCGGGGGAGCTGGTCGAGGCGACGATGGGGTTCGCGGCGGAGGGGCTCATCGACGACCCGGAGAACCTCGCCGACGACCGGGTCTTCCTCTTCTGCGGCACTGCAGACGACCTCATCAGTAATTCTTTCGTATCCACTGAGGTTGATGGAAGCGAATGAGGGGTGAAAAAGGGGTCGTAAAAAAAATTCCAGACTGATTTCCACGATGCATTAAATATGAAGCAATTAATGAGTTGCGAGGGACGTTCGGTAAATCTTGGAAACCATTTTCCACCATATAAAACCGATGAAATTGCCGCACTTAGTAGTTGGTACATGGTGTAAAATTGCCAGCTGTAAAGTCTGTCTCGGTTCGAGTACCAGGGTAGTACCAGAGTACTTTAATGCGTTGCCGATGAGAATGCGACGACCTGTCATGAACGCAAAAGCCGAAATTCAAGCAGCAAATAAAAACGGCATGTCCCTCGCTAGTTTGGTGCATTTGGTACCTAGGCATATTTAAATATGAGAGACAGCTCAAGGTTTTTCCTGTCTAAACATTCAAATCCATATTTAAATCCAGCTCGAAAGCATACAATCACGCCCATTCCCGTTCAAAGCGGGAAGGGCCAAGGGGAATTTTGGATTCTCACGGGGATTTCCCGTCTATGATCAGACGATCACCGTTGATCAGACGATCACCGTTGATCAGACGATCACCGTTGATCAGACGATCACCGTTGATCAGACGATCACCGTTGATCAGACGATCACCGTTGATCAGACGATCACCGGTGATCAGACGATCACCGTTGATCAGACGATCACCGTTGATCAGACGATCACCGGCTATAGTCCAGGTCTTCAAAGCAGCAAACATATAGACAAGTACCAGTTGACGTTTGCAAACACCCAGGACAAATTCGCAACGAGTTGAGTTCATTTGCTTGTGTCTCTCCTTCCAGATATTTTTTTTTAGCGTAATTTTTCTTTATGACTCTTCAAAATTGGCTGAAAAACCGCCTGCAAAATAGACTGCAATTGTTTGCTTAGGAAGACACAATTTGAAACGGGTGATTGCTCGATGTTGCCTCGCTTTTAAGGCGAACGCTCTTGCTAAGTTGGGGAGAAGAAAAATTTTCCAGATTGGGGAACAATTTCTTATCCTCGGTACATTTTAATCTGAGACGCATTTGCCCCCTGAAGAAATTTATCTCTATATTTATAAAAAAAAACGGTCAGAAATCCAGGCAGGATATAAAAATAAATAAATGGTAAAAAAACGTTATCTCCGTACTTCCTAAAAAAAAAAATGTGATTAACTCCCAAAGCCTTTTGGGCACGCGAGCGCGTCTGCATGAGACCTCGCGTGTGCAATTGAATCCACACGAGATCTCGTGTGGATCGAGAAAAGAATCGGGTCTCAGACACATGTCGTGGGGGAGGAGCCGCCTGACACATGTCATCGGGGAGAAACGGCGAACGTCGCATTCGCGTGACGGCAGCGTATTGACGGAAAACAGCTCAAATGAGGTAAATCACATTTTTGCAAAATAATAAGAACGTACCAAAAAAATTACGAGGGGGAAAACTTTTTTGGGATCGCATACCAATAAGAATACTTTTAAGTAGCAGCTTAAAAATCTCAATTCGAATTCATTTCCTCGAGATGAGATTTTTTAAACTGCCATCTAATGCCAGACCATTTTGTATTTCGCTCCCCCCGCCCCGCCCCGGGGAATAAATTATCTTTCATGCAACCAGAAAATACAAAAAAAATTCCAGAGCAGAACGAAACTAATTTTTGCTAATGTAAATAACTCCTCTCCGAGAAAGTTTAAGCAACGAGTTATCGCACGAAAAGGTTATACCATGATTACGCATGCGCGAATCAACTCATACATTCATATTTGAGTCTTGCACAGTGTGGGCAAGTGAAATTAGGAGTTTGCCATTTTAATCCTCTCCTGGCAAAATTGACGCTCCCGGTCGAAGTCGTTCGTTTTTTTCCTTTTTCACGGAATCCTGGTGTCATCTGTTTGACTTATTATTTGGTGCTTCGACGGCTCATTCAAAGGGCAATATCTGGGGAACCAAGGCTTTGGAATAGGGCCGGGAGAGGGTTAAGGGTTGAGGCCGACAACAGTCGCGGAAATCGCATCTCGAGATTCCACCGGGGCGAGAGCGGGGCGAGTGCAATCCCTCCCCCCCCGGGGAATCCCCCCCTGCCCTCGAAGCATCGCTCGATGGCTCGACTGACCGATCGCTCCCTTCCCCCCGCAGACCTCTCCATGATCGTCCAGGAATACTATTCCGCCTTCGTGGATTCCAGCAGCATGAAGGGCGAGTTCTCCATCCCCGCTGGGCACGGCCTCGTGAGTATATCATCATCCATCCATATTATCCATATTCATTCACTCATCCACCCTCTCCTATAAATTGATTCAATCATCCTGCCTTTCCAATGAATTGATTCACTCATCCACCCTTTTCTATGAATTAATTCACTCATCCCCCCTTTTCTATGAACTAATTCACTCATCCACCCTTTTCTATGAATTAATTCACTCATCCACCCTTTCCCATAGATTCATTCACTCATCCACCCTTTTCTATGAATTAATTCACTCATCCACCCTTTCCCATAGATTCATTCACTCATCCACCCTTTTTATCATTTATTTCAATTCTCCACCATTTTCTATCAAGTTATTGAAGAATGCACTCCTTCCTGTGAATTCGTTCGGCCATAAGCCAGGTGTGAAATAAGAACGGGAAAAAAGGCGAAAGCATCTGAAGCACGAGGGAACGATCTGACGGGAGTGATCGTGCCCTCGTGCCCTCGCGCGATGCCAAGGCCGAGGATCGCTCCGACTGTCTTCCAGGATATCGCAAGGGGAAGATACGAGGAAGCGGAAGGCAAAAAAATAATAATAAACGTCATTAGCATATCGTGACGTGACGGGCGTGCTTTCTTGAGAAGCACCTTCATTTTGCCTCGGCTGGAAGGACGAAGCCCGTCCTTGAAGGAATAAGAAACGGGACGGGGAAAAGGGGTTGCACGATTCCAAAGCGTCGCTTCTCCAAGCCGCCCGATTCCATTTCGTTAAAAGGGAACCGTGCGTGCCGGCGAATGGAATTGGACCCCGATCGCTCTTCGCTTTTCCTTTCACTTCGGATGTGGCTTCTTTACGAGATTGATTAGTTTCGGCCTAATGTGAAGCCGACTCGAGCATTCGAAAGCGTCAGTCGGAGGAAATAAGGGCACGGGGATGTCACGGGCGGAAGGGATGTCACGGGCGGAAGGGATGTCACGGGCGGAAGGGATGTCACGGGCGGAAGGGATGTCACGGGCGGAAGGGATGTCATGGGCGAAATGGATGTGGGCGGAACGGGTTCGGACCCGGTCCTGTTTCCCATTTAAAATGATTTATAGGGACTGATAAGGGATTCCGACGGAGGCGAAACTCGTCGAGGTGAGAAAAGAAAATTAAATGAAATAAAAGTCGTGATCCGGATTCTCTTTGTCGGGGCGAAAAAGCCACTTAATAATATTTATAATTTCATGGAAGTACGAATAAAAAAAAGTAGTAAAAAAATGGGGAATTCATAAAATTGCAACATTCATTGCAAACGTTGGAGGATTTTCGTTCTAAATTTGAACGTTTGGACCCCGTTCCCACGGCAGCCGACGGAGGACTACGGCAACGACTGCGGCGACTACCAGCTCCCGTACCTGAACGACTGCGACTACAGCGGGGCCTTCGAGTCCGTCGACTGGATCTACGGCGGGGGCCTCGCTCGCCCTCAAGGCACGTCCGTCAAATGCAATCCATGAATATTGATCATAATATTTATTACCCATAGATTCCATCTGTTTCTGCGGGAATCGAAATTGCTTCATTTTCATTTTCGACGCGGCTTAATTATTTCCGAATTTCTATATTCTTACTAATTTTTCCACCGTTAAGGAATTTTTATATATTTTTCCCAAAAGCATTTCGCATCATGAGTTGATTGGAAACCTTCACGTTCAGTTTGAAAGGTAAATATTTTTAGCAGCATGGTAAGAAAAGACCCCGTAGAGGAAGGGTGGAATACAGGGGAAAATATGTAATATGTAATAATATGTAATATGTACGATCTTTTCACGCCGCCAATTTTTTTTTTTTTTTACTTTATTACTTGGTATACATACATCCCCCATATTCTCTTCTTAACGTCAGCGCTTTATCAAAACGCTTTGTTTTTTGCCCCCCTCCAAGAAGTTGCGGCCCGCCCTTCTAATTAACAACCTGGGAGGGGAGAGGGGGGGGGGCGAGGGGGGGCGAGGCTGGTAGATCGTGGGTGTATTTCCCATATCTCTGCCCTTCCGCTCCTTCCTTCCTATTCTCCTTCACCCGCATCGTCGTTAGCTGTCATAAATGACAAATGTCATAAATGACAATTTTAGTCTGGAGTCTTGAGCCCCCTGCCATCATGGAGAGGTGGTGCCCCACCGTTTTGAAACTGCTGCTTTGTGTGATTTGAAGCCGACGTAGAAACGATGTTGAACGCCGGCACTGTTTCCATTGAGCGTGCGCATGGCAGTTAGTGCCAGGCTTAAAGTCCCATTCCCCCAAAAAAATAAGCTTTTTTTTTTTATGCCTTCGCTCTGAGGATGTTCCTACCTTAAGCTGAATAATAATTCTTGCAGAGTGGAAAGCCTGTGGAACTACGGTAGCATTAGTCAAACTTGGGCGAGATATATTGTCCCATTTTGGTCCATCAGAAAATAATCTGCATTTTTTTTTTCCAGGAAACAAATCTGATATTTATCGAGGTGCGAACAGCATTTTAAAAAATAATTCTGATGAGAAGCAAAAGGATGAGAGCTGTAATCGCAGAAACTGGTTTCGAGATCAAGGCCTCCCATTGCAATTTTTTTTGCACATTTCAATCGGGAGCATTGCAATTCGATCTATGTTCGAAACGGATTTTCCATTGTATTTTCTATCGGATCGTGAGTCACGAGAAAGTCACGAGAAAGTAACACGAAAGTTAAAAAGCGAATAATCCCATTCCGCTTTATTTCGATTGCGATTTAAGATTCGCCTTGGAAAAGAAACCTTGTTGCGCACTGGGCCAGCATGGTGCTAGCAGATGTTGATGCGCGCTGGTTTAACGCGAATTACAGGTTGCTTTGTCGGCTTCCGGCTTCCGGCTTCCGGCTAACAATACGGAAGAGTTGGGAAAGAAATTTGATTTCGCAAAAAAATTATTCGATGCGATTTCATCATTTCCATTAGAGCCTGGTTCGAGTTTTGAATAAAATGTATTACCTTTCGCTGATTTCATTAGTTTGGGTTGATGAACACGATATTTGCGAGCCTCTGTCGACACGGTCGGACTGGACGACACGATTGCAACAGGTTGAATGAGGAAATTCCTTGAAGTCTTTGCGTCACTTATTGCAGGTAAATACGTCCATAAACAAGCCGATGGATAAAAGCAGATAAATCAGCAGGCAAATCAGAGGATAAGTCGCTCTAAAAATCGGCCGATAAATCACCCGATACATAAGCCGATAAATCAGCTCAAGGACATGCACGAGCAAACAATGGATGGAAGTCGTCCTCAAATTGATTTATTATTAATTTAGTCTATTTTTATTATTATAGATATTATTTTTTTTTGCAGGCGACGTGGAATTGCTCGGCACGTTCGCGTCGTTCGACCAGACGGAATTCGTGGACTCGGACGCGGGGCACAGCATGGACGCGGAGGGCTTCGTCTACGTCCCCGGGGCCTGCCTGGAGGGAGACGTCGCGTGTCGCCTGCACGTCGTCCTGCACGGATGCGGGTCGGGCAGGTAGGGATGGAGGCTCGTGTTTCTCTCGAGGGAGGGAGGAGGGAGGAAGCGGGGGATGGACGTGGGGCATGGAGGCCTCAGGAGGAAATCGATATTCAGCGCGCGATCATCATTGCTGCCGTCTCGGATATGAGTTGTCATTTTTCCACCGTAAATCGATATTGATCCTTTAACCCATTGGCATTGGTCTACGACACCGTCTCGTAGTTTCGCTACGAGGCCATTCTATAGAACTACGAGGTCGTCTCGTATTTATATATTGCACGGGAATCCTTCTCTTGGTACCAACGTTGACTTACAGATAACATCGAAAGTCTGTTTTCCATTGTTTTAACCTTTAAATTTCTCCGTTGTGCGCGAGCCGTAACACGTGCATTCGAGCACATGACTCCGCACGAACATGGTACGCAGATGGTGTAATAATTCAATGTCAATTGGTCGAGACCAGAATTTAAAAAATATAAATGATGGAAAAAGACAATTTTCCCCACTCAATCGTCCACAATGAAATGTCGCTGACCATAAAAAAAAATTCGAAAGCGACGACAGGGACTCTTGCCGGGCCTGAAGGTCATGCGTTCATAAATAGTTGGACAATATAAACGAAAATATGCGGGACTCCCGGGAGTCCCGCCGGGCCTGAAAGGGTCAACGTTTGTCTTCTTATATGTTGTACAGTGTAATTGCTTCGTACGGGTGGTCTGTAGGAATAACTTCTCAATAGAGAATAATATTGCATTTCTTATATGCATTTCTTATATGCATTCCGTATGAAGGCCTCCAGGGATGTCGCAGATTCTTCCTCTCGTATTCCCGCCTCTTAATTTCGTATTTTCTTTCGCCGCTGGCCGTCTCGTCTCCTCCTCCTATCATGGCAGGGGAAGCAAATTTTATTAATTTGATTTTTATGGGGGCCAGGGAGATGGTGGGAGACCTGTACGCACGGGAGAGCGGCTTCAACGAGGTCGGGGAGTTGAACGATGTCATCGTCCTTTATCCCCAGGTCGCCTTCAGCCTCGTGAATCCCATCAATCCTCTTGGGTGCTGGGACGTCTATGGGTACACTGGGCCGGATTACGGTGGGAAACTTATTTTATTTATTTTTATTATTTATTAGTTTTATTCTCCATTCTCGCCATCTTTTTCCTGATTACATTGTTTTAATGCATATGGTATAGGTCAAAAGAATTGCAACACGAGCGACTAAGTTCACGGTTTGCCGTCCCTAAACCATGTTTCCCATGGGATGGTGCATAGGATGGTGCATGGGATGGTGCATAGAATGGTGCACCACCGCACTATCGCATGAAACGCCCGTGCCTATCTGGACGCTGAATTTCCTGAAAGGTGGAGAGGTCGCACGGGGGAACGCCCGTGAATGCCCCCCGTGGTCTCCAGACCTCAGCCCTCTGGAGTTCTTTGTGTGGGGATGAGGCAAAGTGTACAGCTGTAAACCTGAAACAGTGCAGAATTTTCTGGGAAATGATTGTAACAGGAATCACTTAAAATCACGGTTGACATGTGCGCCGATGTGTGTCGGGGCCGTGAAGAGACGATGCTGTTTGCGTATGCGTGCCAGTGGTGGACATTTGGAACATCTGACCTAGCTTTTTCTGTGCATCACATTTCCACATATCTAATGTATGTAAAACTATTTTTGGTTTGTGTTTAATTGATAAACTTTTCGAGATACAACTCAAAGTCTTTATGCATAATTTTGAATCGCCCTGTATATGAATGGAGATTACATTATTAAATGAATTAGTTTCATCACACTAATTGGAGAGGTATAATATTGATTTTTCCAGAGTTCCAATACTTTTGACCCATACCGTGGCTTTAAAATGCTGTTGTTTACTTTTATTTAAAAAAAAATTACTTTAATTTTGATTCCAGCTTGGAAGGAAGGCGTGCAGATCCAGGCGATCGAACGGATGATCGACCGAATCGTCAGCGGGTCGTGAAGTCGCAGTGGGTTCATTTTTCTTCTCGTTTGTTCGATTCGGCAGACGAAGAGGGTGGTATGATCCAGCTGGAAATAAAGAATTCGTGGAATACCATTTTTTTTCCTTAATTTTTTTTTTTTGCGGTTGAGGTGCTCATTTCCTTCGCTTGCTGAAGTAACGAGATTTTATTATGTTAAATTCATCCCCTTTTTGCAAATAATTAATGACAGAATTGTATTCGCGATAAAAATTCGCGATAAAATTCCAGCATGGCGAAACAGAAAATGAAAATATTTAATTTGGAATATGATCCATGAACTGCGAGGAAAGTGAAAGAGCGAATCGCGGAAAAAAAAAATATAAGAAACTGAAAACCATGGTAAAATTAAGAAAAGTTTGGGAATATCCATCAATAAATTTGAAGAAGTCGAACTCAAGGAATTTCGGAAAGTCCAGATCGACCTGTCAACTATCTACTGCGTTAAAGCAGCTCCTCTCACTCCAACAAAGAGAGGCTTTTTCCAGTGGGGCAAATGCGACTTCGTGGGCGCAATGCGAGAAGGCAGCGCCTTTCATCCGTTCCAGATATTTATTTCTCTGCGATCACGGCCGAGACGTGCAGATCGGTCCGTCTCCAACTTCGGAATGAGAGGAAAGGAACATTTCCCAATACTTCAAGACGAGCAATTTCTCAGATCCTCATTTTTTTTCCCTTCAGAATCCCTATTAATGGAGAAATACTTGATATGAGGCTCTTGGAATGACTGTCTACTTCACCATAACGATCTCGTCGTTGTGGCAAACATGACGGTAGGCTCCACGGTAATAGCAGGTCATGCCTGCCCTCTCTGGGCCAGTTGCGGTACTACGCAAGTGTGCCTTTTCTCCTGAAGGGTGCGCCACTTCTCGCCACTCGGTCTCGTTCGGTAATATGTATCAGAGACGCTCTTGGCTGCGAAGAGCCATTTTTGATCCGCACTCATCTTTGATTTCTGTGCGATCCGGGCTGAGGAATTGATGCTGCTCGTCTCCGGCCAGGAAGAAAAACTTCTTGGAATTTCTCAAGAAAGATGGAATCATGCAGACGGAATTGAGGCAGTCTGACTCTTAGACGTGAACGTCGATTCCGTTCGTATTACGTTCGATCAAGATCCTTGGTTATATGTCGAAACGAGCTCGGTCAGGACCTTAAAGGCCAAGAGACCTGGCAGTCACGAAGCCTTTCCTTTTCCTCCGAAATCACAGAAAATCAAGTATTTCCCTGAAAATGGGGAAATACTCGATTCGAGACTCTGAGATCCATCGCATAATTCTTCGTGTTAGCAATCTCACCGTTGGCCCCAAAATGAAATTGGATTCTACGGTAATAGACCGAAACTGGCTTGGCGTTGCCTGCATGGAACGGGGAGACAACCGCGAAACGGGGGCCTTCTCAGCTGCAGGGCAACTGAGAGAATGGGCGGGGTCCTCCCGCCATCTCTGGGGTGGCGGCGGTACGAAGGAAGTGTGCGACTTCTCCTGAAGATGACGCCATCCCTCTTGCTTCTCTTCGCTGGGAAGAGTCGCCCTTGGTCCGCACTGGCCACCGATTTCGCCGAATCCGGGTCGAGGAATTGAGGCAGCTCGGCGCCGGACGACTGCAACGATCCACTTTATTTCTCTAGTGAGGTTCAATCATACATAGACTCCTGGGTCGAAACCTAACCTGACTCTCGATGTTTTTAATGCTGGTTCCGTTAGCCTAAAATTTGATCGAGATGAATGGTTACAGGCTAAAAAGGGCCTTGGTCAAGGTCTTAAGGGTCTAGGGACTTGCTGTTATGGGGGCTCCGCAAAATTACCAAAGTAATGACATCTTACTGGTAAAATAATTAGCTTTGAGGTGAACGTCAGTGATTCCTTCAGATACCGAAAGTCAACGGGGAAATACCTATTTTACAGCCAGTTGTTTAACTGTCGAGGTTAGCTCTTTTTTTGGCTTGGCGATTCACCAGGTAGAGGAGATATGTGAGGTTTAAAGAGAACATTCTGATAGATTCCCTTACCGCAGTGTTCAAAAAACGTCCAGAAAAGTTTTGAAAGCATGACCCTGGCCCCGATTCCTGGGTATTTCCGCCGGGGATAGTATCTCACCCCTCAGAAATCGGCTAAACCGCCTGAGCCCGAAGCTCGATGCATTCGCCTTCCACGCAGAATTAGAGCCCCGGGCGCGATTTCATCCGTCGCTCATCTGGTTTCCCTTCCCGCTGTGCTCGTCAGGTAGGATCTCTTGGATGATCCCGTTAATCGCACTCGGAATTAGATATCAAGTTCTCCTCGCCCCATCGAGTCAGGCCCCGTATGAATTCCTACAAAATTGCCAGGAGTTCCTCTAGGCCGTTTGCCTTCTTCAGCGAAAGGATAGAGGAATTCTAGTGCCTTCTCTTATGTTTTCGGCGAGAAAAAATCGAGTACTGCATGAGAAGTACGAAGGACTAAGGAGTGAATCCCCTGACGTCGCTGAAAAATCGTTTTTTTTTTCACTGCCATCTCGCGACATTTATTTGAAAACGTCTCCCAGACTTTTTGAGATCGTTATCTTGGGACGCTAATTTTTTTTATGTGAGGGCGCTTCTGAGAAAATTTTCCCTGCTGAGAATCGGGCAACTGTGGAAAACTGAAACTGGTGGTATTTTTTCCAAATCGATTTGCCAGGAGTTTTTTCGATACAATAAAACGGGAAAATTAATTCATCCATCATTTGAAATCCTGCTATCCTCGAGGGCCCCTTTTTTTGGGGGGGGGGGGGGAAGAGGATTGGGTTACCTTGGACAATTTCGCGCTGAAAAAGCTGATTATTAGTTTTGCAATAGGAGGCACTGAATGACTTCACCCAACCAGAAGTAACCTAAAAACACAATAAAAAATACTTATGATCCAAGGATCCATTTGTAGGCATGAGAATCGCGAAAGTAATTATTAAAACGCATTATAATTTTTTTTTGCAGCGCTGAAGGCGCGTTCTTATCCAGTTTGTTTGCACGAAAGGGCAAAACGAACTCGCTGTGAACGCATTTATCTAGCGCTAGCGAGTTTGTTTGCCCGAAGGGGGGGGGGGGGGGGAAATAAACTCGCTAGTACTAGATAATTCTGGGAACTTATCTCTGACAAAGGAACAGAAGAATTAAGAGCAATCGTAAGTTGAATATTTGATGCTATTCGCGCGAAATTCGTAGAGAAGGTTCTCCTCATATCATTTTGTTGACATTTTATCTTCGGGAGCAACGGCATGACAACCCTCATAATCGTCTGATTCTTCCCACAACCCATGGCGTATGATCCAGTGGTTAAAAGCACGAAATTTAGTCACATTGTTCGGTGATGCAACCATTGTGGTTTAAGCGATACAGAGTCTGGCCGCGAGTGCGACCGTAGCCGAGCTAATGAAACTTACACCCAAGAATCGTGAAATGAAATTGTTTAGTGATACGTGCGATATCATGGGAGGACATTGCTTCAACCTATAGGATTCCCCAACCCTCTCGCCAGCGTTTCAACGTTGAACCACTCTCGTCAAGGTACTACAGGAATATAAAAATCGACCCTGTTGGATCTAAATTTTAATTTTTCTTTTATTTCACGTTCAGCTTTTAGGATAGATTAGGTTAGGTGGCTAAACCGGTCAGACTTGTCATCGCGCTAACACGGTTAGTGGATGCCTATGATTAACCCCGGTTAAGTGTCGAAGGCCAAAGAGTGTGAATTTCAAACCTACATTGGGGAATGATGGATCAGTTGGGAAAGGAAATAATCGCGGTCTTCGACAGCGACCTTTTTCTACCCAAAATCTCTCGATGGATGGTTAACTTCAACAGCGAGTCAGAGGTGACGATATTCTCATGTGGGAATACTGGTTTCAATGAAACAGTGTTTCATTGAAAGAGGGCGTTATCGACTTCCGTTCAACATGACGGCTCCTTTTCCCAATAGTTTCCATGGAGAACAATGTAAACATTTGAAGATCTCAAATTTTTTAATTTGACGTGATCCTACATTAAAATTTCTACGTTTCGACTCCTCCCATGGAACACTGTGGAATGATATACAGGGTGTAAAAAAAAAGTCAGGAGTAATAGGAAAATAACACGGGGATGATTTCAAGCCCAGATAGTTTGAAACTTACGAGCTAATCTGAGTTGATTCGGAAGCTCCTGAGTTGCCTTAATCTCAAAGTCTGGTCCAAGTGGCCCAAAGTGATACTGGATGACCCAGGATGGCCCAAAGTGGCCAAAATTGTCCAAATGACTGGATATGGGCCTAATTATCTGAGAGTGACATAATTTTACGAAGACTAAAACAGTGTCCAAATCAACTCAGATTAGCTTGTAAGTTTCGGACAATCTAGGCTGCAAATGGTCCCCTGTTATTTCCCTATTATTCCTGACTTTTGTTTCCCCCTGTACGTACAAAAACCTGAATCCCGCATGCACCAAACTGAAACCAACCTCATTCCCAACTCAAGGGCTTCTGCCCTTCACTCAAAGTAGATTTATTAATGAGCGCTACAAACTTAGTATTATTTGTAGCATCTCTTCCAGTATCTTCATTCATTGCCTTTCGGCACTTCATAACACCGCGGTCAAGAAAGTTCCCCGCGTTCAATACAGGGAGAGGAAGCAGGGAGAGACTCTTGCGGAAGAACCTTCTCCTGGAACATCGCTGTAATATCTTTTCTGCAATATAAAATTTCGATGAGGTAACCTCTCTCTTCCAGGAGAACAAGGGGATTGGAGACTGGTAGGCGTATCGAGACATCATGGCTCTTCACAGTCGGGCAATATCCAAGGTCATGGCCGAGTACAAAGATGAGTTTCAACAGCACACCGATCTCGAGGAGATTCTTTTGGGGTTGAACAGGAAAGGGATAATCCGGGATGATGAATTCCATGAGGTGACCGAGGAGACTAGTTACAAAAGCAGAAAGCAAGCGCTGTTACTACTCAAGGTGATTCCAAAAAGAGGGGATAACGCCTTCCCAGCACTACTGGAATGCCTAGAGGAGAAATACCCCAAACTCGTACGGGAATTGCTGACGTCAATGGAAAGGAGAGACAAAGATTATGCGATGACACTT